TTCCCTTCCTCTGACCGTGCAAGGGAGCCTTGCTCAAAGGGTGTAGTCCTTGCTTGGGGGAAGAGCACGTTACGCACATGCTCTGTCACCTCAATCTTTAAATGCAGGTCTGTCTCTTCCCCGGTTTCCCCTGCGCAGCTTGCTTCCTTGGGAAGGAGCCAGCCAGTACCTTGTTAAAAGTCATGCCTAGTGTGCTGTTCTCTTGCTGTTGCGCTTCGGGTGCAGCAGGAGCAGAAAGGGTGTCACCCGCTGTTGGGGTTCCTGTGAGGGATTCCACAAAGCTGCTGTGACTGTGTAGGCTCAGTGGGTTTCTTCGCTCTTAAGTGTTAAATAGTGGCCAGTTTTCTCTTTCCTGAAAGATTTCTTGATCTTGATATTAGGCATTTCTGGACAGAGCACACCCTCAGGAAACAAACTTTTGTACAGACAGTATAAATGTGCACGATCATATGCTTAGTCCGTATTTTCTTAAGCTAGAACAGATGCTACACGTGTTATGTCATAAGACTTAGTTAGGTTTCAGGTCCTTTTATTTCTGGGAGACTTGAGCTTTACAATTATCAGTTAGTTTATTTGCAGATAAACCCAAGTGTTCTAGGGGGAAAAACAATTTTTAATAGAAAATATAAATGCAATGGTCAACTAACCAAAATGAAACTATCCAACAATTCTAATGAAACCAAGCAGATGTGACACTGAACACTCATGAAAGGATATGATTTACAACTCCAACCGGCCCGATTAGGAGAACTGTACAAAAGTCTCTTGTCTCCTGATGTTAAATCATTTTTGCTTTTGATGAGGGGAAAAAAAAAAAGCAGGAAATGAATAAACTTGCCTGTTTTTCTGGCCTGTACAAATAGCTTTTTCTGCTTCTGTGTTTGGCTTCTGAATGAGATGATGTTACAAGATGTAGGTCGTATTATTCTGTGTGTCCAGACTTGTGTCTCAACAAGAGATTTGCTTGTTTTGGAATATCTTTTTTTTTTTTTTTTGGAATCCGAACTCATGAATTTTGCTGCAAGGATATACAGTTGTTGTTACAGAGACAACTAACTGGGATGGATATGAAAGAATAAAATCCTGCTCACTGCTTTGGTGATGACTGCACAAGTTAATAGGAATACAGTCTAATTTTTTTACTCTTAAAATCCATAGATGTGGTTCTAAAATCCCCTTGGCAGGTACCGGTGATTGGTGGGCACTGAGTGAGCAGTGGGTGCTGAAATTAGTAGAAGGTGCGAAATACAGGATTGTCTTAACAGTGGCTACCCTCCCTGCAGTCGTTTTGGGTTCTCTACCATCCTGTGATTTATGAACATCTCATTCTACTTTGTTCTTTTCTTTAAGTGTTCCAGAACTTTTGGAAAAAATTGGCTTTATGAGCTGAACTGTTCTCCTTCTCACTAATAGCAGCTTTTCTTTTCTGGGTGCATAAACCTTTTCTTCACTGGGCCAGATTGCCAAAGTATGGGTTTTTGATTGCTTTCCTTGCAGCATCAGGGAGGCACGACTGGAGTGAAAGTGATAGGATTTGAGAATTTAGCATTAAGGAACAAAAGTAGCAGGCTAGTATAGAGAAAAGCTGAAGAGGTCAGCATCTGATAGGCAAAACCCAAGCTTTCACAGGTGAGGTGTGCTGCTTTGAAAACAGAGGAGAGACTCAAAAATGTAACAGACTGAAGACATCTTCTCCTTCCCTCCTCCCCTGCCCCCCAACTCCCTTTCTTTCTGAACCGGAAGATCACCACATGAGGGAGAACAGCGTATTAGAAGCAAGCTGCGTCTTTCTGGTGAGCTCTGGTGGCACTTTGACTGACCAGTGGAAATAATTGAAGCTACAGCTTCAGTAGTCGAAGTCATCTAGTTTCCCTCTTATTGGAAAG